ATAGTAAAAAAAAAAAAAAATACCACATCTCCCATTCTTTTTTATTTCATCACATTCTATATTATTTTTTTCTATTTTATATTTTATTTTTTAAATTAAAAAATGTCGAACTCTCTTGGTTGTCGTGGTTCGAACTCCAGACACAAACGTAAAAATATTGGCACGTCTTTTTCGAGACCTCTATTGCCGGAATTTGCGAGTCCATTGATACATTTGGATATTCCCGGTGTAGGTGATGACACTGATGACGCAACGATCGATCGCATGTTTGTCTCAATTCAGCCTGAGGAGCAAGCGCAGCAGTAGTCGTATCACGGCCGTTTGGAAGATATATTTGGAGCGTCCCCGCCAGAGGTTGAGCAAGAGACGCAGCAGCAGCCGGACCCGGCCTCTGTCTTCGCTCGTGGCAGACCAAGATTTTCCATGTTCCAACGACATTACATGAAGTTTCCCAATCCCGAAAGAGGTGAGAATCACTTTTTTGCTGTTTGAAACTACTTCCCTGTCAAGAAGAGGTACCATTTCAAAAAAGGCGAAGGGTACGGATCGTTGAAGCGATACTTAGAGAGTTGTCATCCGACAAAATTGGGAATTGACACGGCACAGACACAATTCCCGAGTAGTAGCGTTGCACCTTGTTAAATATGCTGTAAAAGCTTGGCTTTCAGATATGAACAATTCCATTTTGATCTGGCAATCGTGTTTTAGTCAAAGTATTTATATTTGCCGTTTATTTATTTATGCAATCATAACTCCATTATTTTACATTGTAGATAGTATAGTTCGTCGTGTCGAACAGTAAGATCATATTATCGGTTCCTTGTAAAATATAAATTTAATGTTCACAGTTTAGACATACAGTGATACCCCTGTTGGAAAAAGAGTGTAGTGCAGTTTTGATTCAGTTGATCTTTGACTGATGGATTACACTAGTACTTATGATAAGTATTGAACAGACCGTGAAAGGATAAGATTATAAGATTTACTAATCGTTGTTCTAATCTAGACCTTCAGTGATTGATGTGTTCTCTTAAGCTGTAAGATAATGTAAAATGGGCATATATATTCATTACTTGTCTATTTGATTTAGCAAGGGTGATTCCTATTTGTTAGGATGACATACTCGCTATTTTGGTAAGTAAGAGTGTTTATATAGTGTGCCGTTATAAATTATTTATAGTCACTATATCCAAGTGCGCTGGGTTGATGACGTCCCCGAAATAAGCTCAAGATGGAATATTATGTTACACTCTGCAGGTGGATAATTATCCGACATAATGATTAACGAACTGAGTGGTACTAATTTCAGAAATGAAAGAAGTCAATTTAATTTAATTTTCAGCTAATTAAATTAATTGATGGACGTTCAATCTTAAACATAGTGTAACGCATCGATTTTTAAAGAAAATCCATGGCTTTTCCAAAAATCAAGGTAAAAATTTTTGAAACTTATTTTTCGAATCATAAACTTTTGGCGTTACTCATTCTTTTCAAAACACAGTTCAAGTCATAACTGAACTACGGGGATTCATTACCCGATTTTTCCAACGGTTTTTATTAACCACATAACGTAAACATAAACATCAGGATGAACTCAATCATATATCAAGAAAGGTTTTTCAACATAAACTAAATTCAAATGTTTTCAAAATAAATAAGTTCCAACTCCAGACCAACGTAGGTTCAATACCAACATAAGTTCGTGAAAAGCGGAAGCAATTAAATAAACATAATAAATAAGTATGACCACCACTCGCCTTTCCTCGTCACGCGCCACTGCTTAACCTGCATCAGTTACGAGCAGGTGGGAGTGAGTACAGTTAAATATCGTACTCACACTATGCAATGCATATTTGGTAACATGTTAAATAGGCATGGTCGTAGCATGAACATAAATAATATCACATATGTCAAATCTCCAACATAAACATAAATACTCCTATGTACACATCTTTCATAATAGTCGAAAGGGGATTCATTACCCTAACGGTGAGAGTACGTGCCACGCAAGGACACGGCCTTTCATAATAGGTCTTAAGGAGACTTGCCTCGCAAGGGCAACCGTATTACATCGACGGGGACAACCGTACCGATGGCCATCATAATAGCTCACATCGATAGGCTACATATTCACGTTCATACATAGATCACGCCAAATCAGAAAAACATATTTAAACACACATTGCACAGGTAATTTTAGAATAACAACCCACCTGGTCGGAATCGAGACAAATCACAAATTGAGTGTAGGCGGCGAGTTTGACTCGTCAAGCACCTACATTTAATAAAATAGCCCTATCAATGACTATTCAACAAATCACTTAGTCCAAGTAAGCTCACGTAAGCATTTAAGCATGCATTAAATCAAGGAAATCCAAATTCTAAAAATATCACTTACGTTTTGAAAACCTAACCCGAGCAGCGTTTTTAAAACCAACATAACTCTCAACACACAACTCATGTGATAATGGATCAAGTTGCATTGGAATTCTAATACATGAATCTACAATTCTTATGAAAACACCGAAAGCAAATAAAGCCATTTAGCAGGTGATAAATCAACAAACATTCAAAAATGAGTCACAGTCCAAAACTGGGGTAATGCACTTGACCAGCCCCCAGTAATTACTCTCTAACGGGAGCTACAGGCATGTTTTTAATGAAATTAAAAAACCACATGATAGATATCTCAAATATCTACAACTTTTCTGAAGGTCACTTTGGCAGTTAAACACTTTTTCAATGAGTTTAAACACAAAACATTTGGTTCAACAAATCTGTCAAAAACTCACATGTGATATGGACAGCACTTCAGTGTTTACAACCTAGAACGAGCTACAGACCTCCCAATGATATGGTTCAAGTCTCAAATTAAAACTTAAGCATGCCTCTACAACTTTCATTTTGAACATAGAAGCATTTAAGATCATTTTGATAGGGTAAAATCAGTTCACATTCCGTATCAGATGTCTGCCAAAGTAATAAGTCCCAACTCATGCATGTCTAACTTCATACGAGCACACATCGAGCTACAGAGCACGTATCGACATAAAATATATCTCATTTGAAAGGCAAGAAACAGACCTATAACGTTTATGAAGAGTATAAATTCATACGAGCACATTACGACACGACAAACAGACCGTATTTTAATTATAGACATGCTGCCGGGTAACAGGAAAACTGGACGCGCAACATTTTTGTAAAAATCACACTTATTCGATATAACTCGGAATCGAGAAATTCCAAAGCCCAGGTTTAGCAAACCGAACATACTACATTTCATATGAAGGCCACATTTTCAAATAACTAGCCTTAGATGTCTTAAAACGCGGCACAACAGATCAACGAATAACGTGTTTTCACATAAAATAACAATGACTTATATAACGAACGTTCTAAGCTTGACAACGATCAATATACTATCTCGACAGCAAATAAACGAGAAAATTGAGGTTCAATCACAGCAACAACATGATATTCGGTTTAAAGAGGTCACGAGCATAACCCGATAAACAAGACGATATAAACGAGCCGGTAAACAATTCGAAATGAATTCCGACTTCAAGCAAGAATTCGGTAACACATATGATAAATTTATCTATCATGTAATATACGAACACGACCGGAATAATGAGAGGGTTCGAATAAGTTACCGCTTTCGTAAATTCACGAGCTAACGGAGGAAAAACGGGCCGAACGACGGGTCGGCCGAATGGGTCGAAAGTCGGCTCGCGAACGGGACTCGGAGTAACGAAAAAGGGACCGAAAGTGGCCGCACGTTAGCTTCAAGCCGGCAGCAGCTCGCCGACAGAGGTCGTCGGAAGATGGGAAGCCGAGGAGCTGCTCGAACGGAAGTCGGGGCTTATGAGACGGGCTCGCCGAAAATGGCTACGTGGAGAGCTTGTTGGTTCACGCCGGTTGGTCGCGCTCGTCGGAGAAG